ATATATATATATATATATATGACATTCCTAAAAAAAATTTCAGTGACCAGCTACTTTCTCCAACCATCGGAGTGAGTTGATGAGTTCTTGCAGGATCGACTACATAATCAGTCTAAATACATAAATGCCATATGTCTCTGGTTAAAAGCTAGCATCCAACTAAATTAGTTCAATTCTGATGACACTAATTTTGGATCCTTGAAAATTAGACCTCTCCTTTCGTTTATATTTAAAAATTTTCTCACTAAATAGGAATTTCCAAAGAGATAATGTATTCTTAAACTCCTATAACATCATAACTTCTAGCTCAACGGTGCAATTGTTTGTTGTTTGATCCAACCGTGTGATTTATTTAGTGGTGATAAATAAAATAACAAATGAAAGACGCTTCATCACAAATTTGGAAATATATGATATGCTGCGATTCTTTTCGTCCCACTACTACGTACCACCATCCATTGATGATTGATCTTTACATATCTTTACATTTATGAAATAGGTTTTATGCACTATCATTTCTTTCAATTGAATCAATGATGATAAAACATTAACTTTCCTTAGTAATTAGCAAATTCTAAATCACTAAAGACACAAAGATATATACAAGAACCGCAAAACACGGATCTGCATAAATGTACTAATTAAAGTGAATAAAAATTAACATGGGCTAATGGCTATATAGCGTAGGCTAAATGATTTAGGTTGAATTTAGAGCTTCAATAAGGCAATCCTCAAAATTGGATTTTAATTAGGTTGTCTTTTCCCAACATACAGCCAAGTTGCAACCGCTCATATTAATTTTTAAAAGAAGGAATTAACATTTGAACATCAATCAACATAACCAATACCCCTTAATCAGGTGGAATTATCCTATTATGTCCACATATAAATTCGGACAGGACGTTCATCATTTAATGAGGTTGAATAACATTTTTAATGGGCATCGCACTTAAACTTGCCTTATTTGGTGGCAACTCACGACCCCACCATTTTATTATTTCAAGTTGACTTGCGAAATCCCATAACATTAGCCTTCTCATGCCCCTATAAAAGCGACCAGATCCTCTTCTTTCTTCTCCATACTGGATACGAAGTGAATCTATAGCATCACGTTAAATCTGGTGAGTTAATAACTTAATAAATATGATAATTAACTTTGGAATCGTAGTATGTTTATGCTCACATCTGCATTACACCCTCTTCCCTGTTCTTATTTTGAATCCTGTAGATATAACTCCTGGGACGAATGGAGAGGGTAAGATACTTTAATCTTTAATGCATATGTAGTATGAATTATAATTACTTTCATATTATTTAATAACTTTTAATAATTTAATTCGCAAGCAATCATAATAAAAGCTTGGTATATATATTATCATTCAAATACTTCTAATCATATTTTATTTATTTTTAAACTTTTATATTGTTATAAATTACATTACCACATTGATAATTACATAAATTGTAACATTTTGTCTATAATAACATGATCATTTTTAATCTATGAATTTTCTCGTGAAGTAAATTCTCTCTCACTCAAATAATATATACTGTCTTCAACAGACGATATACGTGCTCTTTGTTAGAAGAAAGAAGAAGGAAAAAAAAGCTCATCCACTTTCCGTGTATTTTAATTAAAATCAAACTTTATTCACTTTTACCTAAACATAATTCCTGGATCCTCGGATGGATATTCAATTGTTTATAATAATATGGTTGTCAATTATTGTTCGAAAAGACAATAGAGCATATATATATGTATATACTATGAGTTCATCTCTCTGATTACTTTTGCTTTTGTTATATATATAAACAGAATCAAGGAAGTGAAGGTGATATATATCAGTACAACTTAGAAGCTAGCGTGAGAATGAGGTTTGTGTCAATTGCATTAGTTTTGATGCTTGCATGTTGCTGTTGTATGGCTTCGGAAATGAATGGAAAAAGCAATCAAGTTAGTAACCAGAATAATAATAATGGTCATCATGAACTCCCTCGTAAATACTATCCTCCTGGCTTACGTCACTTTGAAGTCACTGATGAGAATGATCATCATTACATTCCTCGCAAGGACTATGGTAAACCAGGCGCAGGAGAACGCACGGTTAATGATCCTGGAGAAATCCCTCACAATAACCATGGCAAGCATCCTGACAATAAGGAATGAATAAAACTATATATATAACTTATTGTGTGTAATTAATGTTTGATGCTTATAGATGTGAATTACTAGAAATTCTTGATGCAAGAATTTCTTATCAGTAGTTCAGTACCTAAAGAAGTGAATGTATCTCAGTATCTATGTGTGTCGCCTTTGATCAGTGTGTGCCTATAAAATCGTTTTCTGTTGATAAATAAAGATATGAGACGGTTTGCTTGTAGTCGGTGCTCCCACAATTTCTTCGTAAACAAATACCTCGGGATTACTAATTTTTCTCTACATTTTATTTTGAACAATTTTAACTTTATAAAATTGGACAACAATAATTAACAAGAGTTAAAAAAGTCTTTAAATATATTATATTTTTCTTTGAATTTATTAATAAACACCCACTAATTTCACTATCGATATGTATATTTTCATAATAATATGGAGTGTTTTTTACCCACTAGAATTTATAACTACAATCATTATGTTATATATTTATCTAAGATAACTATTATACAAAGTACGTTAATTTTAAGACAATTACTAGCTTTATATTTTACATCAAATATGTTTAAAATATTTTTGTATTCATTAAAATTATAATAATAATAAAATTTGAACTTAAAATTATGTTCATACTATTCCAATCTTATATTTCTACATGAGTAATTATATATGACGAAATAAGTTGGATGAAAACATTGTATGAAAAAGATATATGCATGGCTAATTATTTAATTTAATAATTACTTTTTTTATTTTATTAATAAAAGAAATACGGACCCAAATTTAAATGGTTTGGTGCTTAAATCATTATGCTTTTATAAATATACATCGATTTGGATTAATGTAGATATTTCGTTGTTGAATCCATCTTGAATATTCAATTTTTTTTTTTTTCCCTTTATTTCAATCCCTAGAGCATTTAAAGCAACGATGACATGTAAAACGTTGAAAAAGGTCTTTAGGAATGAAAAAAAATTGAGTGTTAATTTTGCTGCAAATTAAACTCTACTAAACTTGCATGAAATATTTTTTTCCTTTGTAACAGAAATATTGGTGGCCAAACACAAAGAATTGATGTGATTAATTTTAATTATTGATGTATAACCAACCGGAAGTACCGGATCATTTTGAGTGTCTTAAAAAAAAGCTTAACAGCTCTTAGGTTAATAGATTTGGCATGAAAAATTGTTATATAGAGATATGAAAAATTAAATCACGTTATTTTTTTAAATTAGGGTTACAATCAATAAAGACATATAGTTACTCAACACAGCTAAAACTTAGAAAGCTTAAATGTGGGTGCATTTTGAACCCTTCATCTTGAATTTGACCACAGACATACACCTCTTAGAACATAAGTCTTTGACTAATTTGTATGATAATGATTAGACTTTTTCCCGAATGTTTTATTTGGTTTACAAAAGAAAGGTGAAATTAAAAATAAAATAAAAAAGTAGAAGAAAACAATAAATAGTAAGTTATTTGATTGGAGAAAAAATAAAAGAAAAACAGAAAGAAAAAAAAATTAATATCCATAATATTAATATAAAATATTCATCATAAAAAAAGCTATACTGGCCTTTGTCAAAGACTAATATTATTTTATATTTAAGGATTAAAACCAGATAATTTAATAAAAAAACATTTTTTTCATTTGTACTAACTAATACTGATTTATTTATTTTTATTTAATTGTTTAGAAAATAAAAATACATATATGTATTCAATGAAATAAATGCCAAGAAAAAAAAAGTGTGTAAAAATAAGAACAATGTGATATTTTAAATTTACAACAATAGATTTCTTCTCTTTTCTTTTCGAACGAGCATATGGTAAGATTGATAGAACCATTCAAATTTTGAACTTGTTCTCCATCCATCCTTGTAAATTGGTGGAAGGTGGAAGCTATCACTTTTATGTTCCTTTCTTCTTTCTGTTCTCTATTGTCTTTTTTTTTTTTTCTTTCTCTAATTAACTCCATGAATGTGTTTGTTTAGCAAGTTTAAAACATATTTACAAGAATTTTTTTATATGTGAAAAATGTAAAAAAAAAAAAAAAAAAATGCTGGTGGTAGAATATAGAAATATATTATTTCATATTTGTTAATTTTCAAGTATTTATCATTTTCAAGAAATAATCACAGTAAGGTTATCTCATTTTTATTCTCATTATCAACAATGAAAAAATTTCATTATCAAGAAAATTTGAAAATTAAAACTATTTTTTAATTCATTATAATTTTCATTTCAGCTCTTATTTTTATTTTAATTATTTTAGAATTTCAAAATATTTCTAAAAATGTCAAAATCATAACTTGAAACAACACCCCTACAATTGAAAATGTTAATTTATTTTAAAAAAACAAATTATTTAATAAAATTTGTGAGAAAAACCCGCTTTAACAACAAACACCCTTTTCTTAATATGTACCCAGATATGATGAAACAATGCTTTATCCATTACTTATTTATTCACCGTTTTGTAGGAAATCTAGAAGGAAATTTTCCCATCATAAACATAAATACATTTTCATAAAACTTACAACCTGAACCTTAATTTTACCATGCTCAGGATCACATCAAGTTAATAAAAACTGATGTAGATAAATGGACACTTAACCCAAAGAAAAGAAACCCACCTCACACCCTATCCTTTTCATTTGGTTGTAATAATGCCCTCTTTGAACAGTGTTATATCTTCAATAGTGTGAAAGTATGTCACTCAGTTTGAGTTCAGATTTTCACAGGCTGAAGCAAAGTTGTTATAAACATTCTCAACCAAATTAAATGGCATGTGACACAGTATCAGAGTGTGTCCATATTCATTTTGCCATGACAAAGTTGTTGCAATCAGCCCACAAAGCCATGCATCATGTGCCCTTCAAGGTCATGCAATTGTTGGTGTTGTCCTCCTTCAACGCCATGCCTAAGACCCAATGTCAGTGACACGGACCCAAGCCCACCTCGTCGATATGGAACAAAACCCATCAATGTATCATCCATGTTTGAACTCATGTGGCATTCTAATTTAGACCGCTTCTCTTGACTCCATTCTTCTGAATTGAACCCACTTTCCTCAGCATTGGATGAACCCGTCTCCATACTATGAAATTGGTTTTCAGGTATTGTATTCATTCCAACATTGCTCAAAGGTTTGTCCAGTCTAGGTTGTCTTGTATCACCTTCAGTGCCAGAAGAAGTTCCCTCATTTTTACCACACATCTCCTTCGAGGATGTCCCTTTTGTTTCAAGCATGTGTATTTCCTCAACCATTGGCTTCCACACTCGGACTCGAGCATTTATGAACCAATTTGATACCTGCATTATTCAGTTACACTATTGTTTCAGTAATAAAATATAACATGAAACACTTTAACAAGTGAGGGGTGCTACACACTCTTTATTTACAAAGAGTGTTCAAAGAATGTTAAGTTGATTTCAACTTCACTTTTCAAATCAACTTTAAAATAAAAACAAAACACTAATTCAACTGATTCACACTCAAATAAGAAATAAAAAAAAATATTAAACATGTAGTTGTCGACTGAATGGAAAGCCATACATAACTTATCAGTTCAAACCCCTTGTATGGGATGAAAAATTTAAGAAAAAATTACTAATCATATACCTGGTCACTGTCACATTTAACATCTTTAACAACATTTTTCTTATTTATATTTATTATAATGTTATTATAAATTAAGTTAACAGGTTATTGTAACATTTTTTTAAAAAATATTACTATGGATAGAATAACATTTTTTTTATCTTAATATTATTCTTTTTAATTATTTTTTGAAATTAAGGGTGCTAACACAGTTCAAATTAAATTAACAGTGCAAAAAAGTCCTAACGATATGATAAATTATGATGATAACATACATTTATTAATTCAAAATGTCTTTCAATATGATATATTATAGCATTAGTGTAGATCAACATCTCACAATAACAGTTGAATATCCAATAAATAAAGAATATATTAATGAAGGCTTGTTGAACGACAAACTGTTGATTTATAGCATAAAATTAGAACCACATTAGAACCCAGATTTTATAAAGTGAAAAAAACATTGAAACATGAAAGATTTGAGCAACACAAATAAGAGCCTTAAAAGCTGGCAACGTGAACATGTGAGGATTAAATCAACGGAATAAAAAGCATAGAGACATAATAATGAATTTGAAGGGAGAGGCCCCCACCTGGTTTCGTGAAAGACCTGTTTGACTAGCCAGCAAGTGTTTATCAGTGTCCGTAGGGTAACTGAAAAGAAATTGAACAGCAAAAAAGGCAAAGTTCAATCTAAATGTCTCTTTAAAAAGAGTCACGGAGCTATAATCAGAAACATGGAGACAAACATACGGATGAAGAAAATGCTCAAATAACCAGGCTTTAAGAATTGCCACTGCACGCTCTGGCAACCCTCTCTGGGGCCTCCACACATGTTGGGGTTCAATAAGGTCCCTGCCAGATTTGTTCTTCAAAAAGCTTTGGTCCATGCATCTTATCCTTCCCATAGTAGAAGTATCAGCTTTACTACAAGTACTAGTTCTAGGTATTGACAAATCTTCTCCCAAGGCTTCGCTTATTAGTTTCAGCTCATCTGAGATGGAGTTTTTTAGGCACTTGAAGTGTTTTGATACTGACTTCAGAGCCATGGGGATGTAAGGAGTAGCAGAACTAAGACCTGCAACTGACTCGAACGATGAAACTACCATTTGCATTTGTAGATGGTACTGCTTGCATTGCCTTGTAACCTGCGGTTATAAATGGCCCAACACAACACTGTCAAAACCAACTTTTCAAACGATTACCCAAAAATAAAACAAAAAATATTCTCATAAATTATACGTACCTACCATTAGCATCATCTCAGAAAATAAAATTACTCTACCTTTATAGGAGCAAATCATCATAACCAAACTTTAGAATTATTATGAAACTATACTTCTGTAGATTGACTTGTAAAGTTTCGATGAAGTATAATAATATTAACTTTTTTATTTTATCTTTATGACTTGATATATCAATCACAAATTCTTCTGGTAAAATTATAAGAAGCAAGTTGAAGTACATCAAAGCACAAATACCCATCAGTTAGACCAAGTTGACAGTAACAAGGTAGGGCATTCTGATGAAGTTTGGAACATATTACTAAACTTCGGAAAGTGATGCGTATACGGTTGACTGGTTGACTAGCCTGTGGCCTATATTCATGCACACATTTGGACTATTAGATTTAAAAATTACTGTGAACAGGAGAGAATGTGAAACAATAGTAGCAACGCATAGCTAAGTTAGTGTGTACGATGAAGGGGGCACCGTTCACAATTTTGCTCTGCCTATGCCTGAAACTACAGTTACTCCAACTCAACCACGAGTAAAACAACGCGGTCATCCTATTAAACTTATCGTTCATAATCATTGTTTCAAAAACTAAAAGTAGATGCACAAAAGGATTTGTGGGGGTGAAAATATATCCACATGAATTCACAAATGCATCTTCAAATTCTCCATATCTGAAATCATATGTAACTCATTTGTAGAGGATAGAAGGATTACCAAATTACCATTAAGATGGCACTTTTATTTCAATTATTCAAGTACAGAAGAGATCAATCTAAGACCAGTCCAATCAAGATGTTGACAAGATTAGAGATATCTTTAAAAATTACATAGCCAGTTCCATGGAGATGCCAATTAAGAAGATCGTTTCTTGGGATGATTACATAAAAAAGAAAAACACTTGATAAATTTTTCCATTGCGTCAACAATCAATATTATTACTATTTCTAATTAGTTTCCCATATTATTTTTGTCAACAAGAAGAGATTGATTCAATTAAATCATTCAAAATTTCTCATCTATTACAAGATCGATTATCTCATGTCATATTATATGAGAAGGAAAAATGCAATGAACACCGAACACCATTGAACAGTGCAATAATAAAAATTAAGGTTAAATAAATTTTTAGTCAGATAATTTACAATTTGGGCCCCCAAAAATATACTCTCTTTTTTCTCTCATTTAATAAAAATGTGTCATATATTTCATATAAAAACTTTACCTAGATGAATGACCTAACAGTAGACAATTTTTAAAAAATTGCATCAGAGATCTGACATATCAGAAAGAGACATTATTTTTTAACAAAAATGAACATTATGATATTTGTAATAACAAAACGCATTTAACCCTATGGATGACAAAAATTATTAGACACCTGGGATGTACAATCAAAGGTAAGAACTATAACTTAAATATAAATGCAGTATATATTGAACTTGTTTCTTACCCATCATTCCACGACAATGTGTCACCTCACTTGAAGGACTGCTGACTACATAACATCGAATAGGATATTAACACTAGGCACTGGCATGATACATTTTAAAATCTAGTTATATACACAGGAGTATTGGACCTTATCAATTTCATTTTTATTTCTTCTTTAAATTTTATGTATGTGAGAAACCTAGCTACAACTTGAATGTTGAGTGAGATGAAAAAGCAATGCCAGCTAAGTTCAAAGGAGACACAGTCCAGGCTTCAGCGAGAAAAGGAAAGAAGGGAACAAGATAAGAGCTGCGATTAAAGAGACCACACAAATGAACAAGAAAGTAATTAAAAAGGTTTTGAATTGACCATGAGGAGGTTACAAAATCAAAAGGTAGCTAATGATAGCATTAGCAACAACCCAGCGATATTATATTATAATATAATGTGATTAGTCATCAGACCTTTATTTAATATTCCCTTCTCTTTGATAAGGGACGAATGAAAATTACTCCGGTACCCTTTTTAGGATACCCTTCAAAAAATCTCTATCTGAACTAGCACAAATCACACTATGGTAACTTCATAGGCAACATAGCAAGAAAGCAATTGACAAGTTCAAACGTAAACAAGGTTGTGATTTTGTTTCCCCATATTCTCCCTGGACAGTGAGACATTAAACCGGGTTTTGCCATAAACCGGGTTTTGCCATTGCAAACCAAACATTTTACTATAAATCAAGACTTGTTTGGTTGACACAGCAGTGTAAAAGCATTTGGCCTTTTTTCATATAACAGTAAGTTTCAGACAGACATTAATGTGCAAAAGAAATGCATAGGAAAGTAAATTATAAAACAATTAACGGAAGTAGTAGTAGTGAAAACAAACCTCCTCTTGCATGTACAAAAGCTTAGCTTTCTTCTGTTGATAATCTGGCCGTGAAGAAAGACCAAAGCTACTTCCAACTCCCCGATCAGCACTATTTTCCTTTGAAATATTATACAACATTGATGATGAAGAACCTGAACTACTACCTTTTGCAACAACCCCAGTTTCCTTAACAGTAACAGTATCAGAAGAAGTAGAAGCACTAACTTCAGAAGACACCCTCTCAGAAACATCATAAACTTTTGCAAATTTTGCACCAGATAGACAGCAAATCTCATCTAACAACTGTTGTGCAGACTTTAAGAACCTTGAACTCTTAAGAATAGTAGCATACCCAGTGAAAGGGCCAAGGGGTCCCACATTTCGATAACTAATGGTCCTTGAAGGCATCCCCACCGTGTCTTGAAGTGATTTCCCATTATCTCTGGAAACTATAGACGGCTTGACAATTGATTTCACATACTTAGAAATGCCAGATCCAGATTGAAGATCCTCTGATGCAGACCCTTGTTCAAGCTGAGAAACAGGTTTAGGTTGTGTGTTCGATGAAAGCGACAAGGATAAGCTCTGAGGAAGTGGATCACTAAGGGTATTAGCAAGTGTTCGATTAGTCCACCCAAAACGCAACTGATTTGGCTGATTTTCGTAACTTGGTTGAAGCTCAACTTCACTAGCATTCCCCACCCAAATGTTGTAGTCATTTTGTTGCATAAGTGAAGGCATGTCATGTCTGTGGGAACTGACAGAAGCTGACTTCACAATATCTTGCAAAGCATTCTGATAAAGTGAGGATGACGGAGGATTATTATTATGCAGTACACCTAATTGCTTTTGAATTTCTCTACCCCGTATTTCATCAGAAGCATTGCTACACTGTACATCCATGAGTTCATTGTAAGATGACACATTGTTGAGCTCAGAAGACAAGAAAGGGTTGGCATTGCTTGCATAGTTTACAAACCAATCAGATCCTTGATGGGGGGCACTGTTCCTCCAATTTCCCAAATTACGAAGCTCACACTGTTCTTTATGGGAAGAATGAATTGCAGACATGGAATGGGGAAATGAACCATACTGATTCATCATCGGCCTATTACTCGGTTCAGCTGCACCTAGTTCCTGATGATGATACTCCAACGCGTTCCTTGGCGTTTCTGGTGAATAAACAGGTGCTTCATCAAGCATGTTGTTGGCGTTTCTAACATTCCTAACTTGAAGAAGGTCCATGTTAAACCCCGGGTGTAACGATAACTGTTCAAGATTGTTAGGGAATTCGTGTAGATGCTGAGAACTGTTGTGGATTCTCAATTTCTCACGCCGAATTTGCTGTGCTACATGAGACTCAGGCCTTAAGTTGCTCATGACAAAACCTCTTCTCAACGTTCGGTGAAAAACTTTCAGAAGAAAACAGTCATATTGCTCTCCTGCGCGCGCACAAATTCAACATCACCTTACATGTTAAATTTTGAAGAATTAGTAGAAAATAACAGTTAACAGTTAAAACACCCCTTGTGTATAATTTCAGAAATACTAGTATTTAATTTCTGACAGAAATTTTGATTTCATTTAATATCTAGGAAACATTGCACTACAGACACGCAAAGAAAGAAAGAGAGAGAGCCAGCAGCAAACTCCCACACGAAAATAATAATAAAAAAAATACATTACACAAGGCAAGACAAGACTGAGTGAAGAAACCGATCTAACTTCGTTATTTTCTATAAACTGCCACCTTGTACATGCCTCAAATAAAGCTCCTAGTTCTAGTTTCCTTTCTCAACACTCACTAGTCACTACCTTTATCTTCTTACTGCTAAAAAAAATTAAAATTAAAATAAATAAATAAATAACTCGAGAGACGAGAGGTAGTTCCTCCCTTACCAAACACCAAAAGTACATGTTCTCACAAAAAAACAGCTCCAAAATGAAAATGATGCTTTTCCACCCACCAAACAGCGCAATATCTAACTCTCTCTGTCGGTAACAAAACCATTGAACGAGAACCACACAATTAGCACTAAGAAAACAAAAACAACCTAAAGCAATATGTAAACCACAACTACAACGTTAGTAACCTCTTATTGGCAGGCATGAGTAGCGAGTGAAACCCTAGTTGTTGTGCTCCCTTAAAGTTAAATGGATCTATCACCCTCACCCTCACCCTCACCTTCACACTCATCCATCCATAGCAGCCTCTTTGTTTTTAAAATAAGATAAAATTGGCTTGAGCTACAGCGTAGGCACCTTGAAAGCATTATTAAAAACGCAGAAACAAGAAGAAGAAGGTAAGAAACAAGGACTACGTTGTATGTAGGGGGAAAACGACGCAGAGACATGAAACAATGAGAAACGACACATAAAAAATCTTATGTTTCAAGAGGAGGAGCCAAGACAAGAAAAGAAAGAAAACGTCAAGTTATTTATTATTGGTGGAGTTTAGGTACTTTCACCTGTGTCATGGCAACTTGACGAAGGAAACCAAACTGAACTGAACCGGTTAGAACTAAGAATTCAGATGAGAGTGAAAGAAGGTTTGTTTCACTACCAGCTTAGCCTAGCCAGCACCGCAATCATTATCATCATGGCCCTTTACCTTTGACGTTTAAATTAACGTAAAGTTGCAGTTAAAAAGTTAAAAAAATAATAATAAAACACTACGCAAGCATTGCAAAACTGTGTCGCTTTCCTCAATATTCAACCAGTGTGGTTGGGGCCCCTTCACTTCCATCTTCAGTTTCTTCCTCTTTCCATTAGCGTTTTTATTTTTATTTTTTTATGTTCTGCGTTTGAAACTGTGTCTGTGTTTGTTGGATGCAACTGAGTCTTGCACTTAATCGATTCACGCTTGCTTGCTCCAATTCTTTTTAACCATTTTTATTTGAATTGCTTGGTTTTGTATGGCATCAATCAATAAAACATTTTCAACTATTTCTGAACAACTTTTAATTGTGTGATGTGATGTGATGCATACAAAATTTATGGACATTACTTTATGTGGATTTATATCGAGAAAAATGTGTGAATGAGATTTTTAAACGAGAACAAAATGTGAATACTCAATTAAAAAAGTATTATTTATTGAAAGCAAATTCCCAAGATAAAGTTGGCCAAGTGAAATTTTAAGAATCAAAAGATAAAACTACTGAATTAAACAGTTAAATAAACTTTTATTATTATAATGGTTTTATAATAATTTATTTTAGAGTTTAATAGTGGTATATTATTCATTGTAAAACTATTTTACTGTCAATTAAGCAGATATAAATGTAATACCTATTTTTTTTTATATTTTATATCTTATTATATAAAAATATTTAAGTAAAGACAATAAGCATCTGCCAGTGGTTTTGAGTTTAACTACTCTAAATTAAATTGGTTTTTTTTTTATTTCTAATCGTGATATGAATATGACGTATTTATTATTAAAAATAATAATTAATTTATGTTGATAACTGTGAATTCACATTATATGTGCACTTTTTGTAATATAATTTATTTGTTTTATAAGATTAAGATTCAAATCTTTGAAAATTTGAATAAGAAACATAAATTACTATTATTTGTCTATCTTATGTCGATAAATTGTTGTAGTGGAATTTATTTCCTAGCTACTCCAAATGACACGTGTTATATTTTTTAAAAAAAACTATGATTACGTCCAAAGTGAATCAAAGTAAATTATTCATTTCTTCATATTAATTATATTATATTATATATATGCTGGTGATAATGTTTTTTTTATGATTTATATATTTTAAAATTAATAATTAAAAAATAATTTATATTCATGATATATTGATACATGATATACTTTGATTATTATTTTAGTATGAGAAAAAATAATCTCAAGATACCAAGTTGATTCATTGCGATTCAAGATAGGCCTTATGATCAATTAACCAAAAGACTTGTTAGCAACATACTATCTAAAATACTCTTTTTTAACACACTTAATTTTATTGGAGAACATTTATTGAAAATTAAAAGTTAAAATATTTTTTAGTTTTTATAATTTAAAATAGACTTTCTTAGTTCTTATATTTATATTTTTTAAACTTTTTTAGTTCCTATAATTTAAAATAGATCTTTTTAATTTTTACACTTATAATTTTTAAATATTATCGTTAATTTTTTGTAACGTTATTTATTTTATATTTATATAATAAAAGTATTTAGTTTTGTGAGAGTAAAAAAATTATAATAATTGTAACGACCCACCCTCGGCCGTCACATCAATAACCAACCAAAATAAAATAATATAAAATAAAGAAAATAGAGCAAAAGCCAGCTACGCTAGAGTGTAATTATACAATA